TAACAAAAACGCTTAATGACCGCAGAGATCGATGTATAAATTTGGAAAATACTAAAAATAAATAAATAAACAAACGTGTATGTTAAATAGGAAAAAACCCCACAGTTCAACTTCATACTTGGTTTCGCAAAACTCATGTAATCTTTGGAAAACACTGTCTTGAAGCAATGTTCCAGGCGATACTGCAAGCAACAGGCAAACACTACCTCACAGGTGCTTCCATTTCTGGAAAGGCCTAAAAGTTAACAGGCGTCTAGTTAACAAAGTAATGTTTGGTTTTGCCATACATTCAAATGTCATGCGTAAAATATTTTAATCAAAAAAAAGCCAACCAAATAAATCTAATTCACTTCATTAGTAGAACGATGCACCACTCCATCCATAAATCAGCCTAAAGAGAGAGAGGTAACGAGCAGGGGGGGCGGGGCTGGAGTCAAAGGTTTAAACTTATCCTTTTGGTGACAGGGGCAATAAAACTAAAAGATCTGCAAACGAGCCGGTCCTGGCGGGTGGCTGGGGAGGCCACTGCCACCTCCCCTGCCATTCTCACCCCCGGGCACTGTTGGCCTCGCCAGCCGCTGGCGCTGCTCCTTGGCGAGGCCAGCTCCGGGAGCCTCACGCTGCGACCGAGGCGGAGAGCTGGTAAAGGGATCGTCCCGCCGCCAGCAGCGCCTGGGATCGAGAGATACAGATCCTCAGCATTCGAACACCAACATTTCAAAAAAATTAAAAAGAAAAGGACATTTATTTGGTTGGCCACAACCATAAAAAGGAAAGATAAAATACTTTCATGTTGAGAACCAACTGTGAGACAGTATTAAATCTGATGCATTTCCCATCAACTCAGGATCCTGTTGCAACAACTCTTTTGTTTAAATATAATTTTTCATACAGAAGATGAAATAGCTAATGAGGTAACTAATCATTGCATTGATATACTTTTCTCAATAGCCAATTTCTAATATTGACTGGTAAGTTATTTTATCCATAAAAGGGCATTTTAATAGCTTTGCTGAGTGGAAACACTAAGCGTGTTCATGGATATTTAGCTGTCAAACACTAATGAATAAAAAATAATTGTAAAAACAATATAGATGCCATTTTTAAAAGGTCTTCATAAACTGTATCTATGAAGGTTGGCTCAATAGAGCAAAACACTCCAAACTTGTCAGCAGAGGAAGCACAAAGATTCTGCACAAAAATAAACCTAGCGCAATACCTTATGCTTTACCAAGTACAATTACAAAATGGAGTCTTGAGCAGAAACAGGGGGAAAAATATCTTCCTGTAAGATAATAAGCAAGCTTTCAAAAGACGGTGTTGTGCATTTCATTACTACAGTTTTCTTTCCCTTTAAATAGTAGTATTTTAAGGGGAAATTCACTTTGTCATTCCAGAAAATAAGGAAGCACAGAGAATTCGGTGAAGGAAAAAAAAAAAAAAAAAAAAAAAAAAAATCACTTTTCTGGGTAGAACTTTTGCTGTCATTACAATTTTTTTTTAATTTTCCTTAGGCTGAAGACATGAGGTTCCAAACATGGTAAGGCAATGGACCTCGACACAGCCTCTGTTACACTACAAGAATAAGTAACGGCACAACATAATCTACCTGCACAAAGGAGCTTTAAATATATACAGATACATATTTGTTTTGTTTACCTATTAGGCCTATCTCTTCACTTTAACCTTTTTATTTAATATTTTATATATGTCTGCTCATGGCCACTTTTGTTTTGTTTGGTTTTTTTTTTTTTTTTAAGGAACCTACAGTTTTAGCAACTTCCTCAACATATCTGTATATGGAAAGACTTTATTATTACATATATTATCAACAATGATCTTTTTGTGTTGATTTCTTTAGTTAGTGTCTGGTCACCTATTTAAAAGTATTTCATAAATCATAAAAATCTTTACACACGTGAAGGTGGGATATGTACTCCAGATGCCAGCTTTAAAAGTCTCATTCTTTAATCAGATTTTCATACAAGAACATGAGACTTTATATAATGACAGAATGAAAATCAGAAGTGACAGATTGGGTGACTGGAATTTCTATTGGGCTTTTTTAATCCATTAAAACGTCCAGCCTCATAATTTTGGAAAAGAATTTAGCACCAGTTGGAATCCTCAGACAGCATTAGTAAAACAATAACAAACCTCCCTCAAATAAAATTTTAAATCATGAGTTTAGAAAACACTTTCAAAAAATGAAACACACTTACTAAATTTAAAAATTTGTGTGACTAACCACCAGGTCAAATCCTGTCATCTGGGAAACAGCAAGAAGAAATGCAGTATTTAACTCTGCTGAGGATTTTTAATTTGACAGATTTCAGAAGACTCAGATTTACAGAGAACAGGTTGAAATGTGACTTTACAGCAACTGAAATTCTGAGTCCAGGTAAGCAAATCAGTGTTCTTGCAGCAACATCAAGCCAATGTTAAGAAACAAACCCAAAACCCCAGTGTTAAGAAACGCCCCCCAAAAGAAAGGGCGAAGAACCTCGGAACCTGTGATTTGTTTGCAGGGTATTAGATTTCTACTATATCCTCTCCTTCCAACAACAGCCTGAGGAAAAAGGAAATCTTCAGTTCCGCCTGACAACTCCACAAGCTCAACACGATGGTAGAGAGAAAAGTATTGCTAACTCTGCCCTTTAGAGCAAGAAGCCGGTGGGCTGGCGTGTAAACGTTGTGCTGCAGCCTCTGAAGTGAAGCTCGCTTTCTGACCTACCGTTTGCAGGCAATAAAGCTTCGAGTTGCTGTACATCAGCTCCGCTTGCTCAGGATATACAAGCAGGGTTCAACTAAGGCACTACTGATACAAATGAGTTAGCTTGTGTATTTCTACATATTTGTAGTTACAGTACCATGCTAACAATGCATCTACTGCCTCCAGGCCGTGTTTCGTAAAAGGTTAGTTCAACTTCAAGCATCTTCTAGACCTTTTCTGGAATTTCAGGAGGTCCCATGAAATTTGTTACCAGGAACACCAACAAAAACCAGAAGTGGTAAGCAGCCAGCTCTGGAGCACAGATATAAAACTACTTTATTGGTATGAAACCAGCCCTGTGAGTTGTGAAAAATGAGATATTTCGTTGTTCCTTGTCTAAGTCTTGCTCACTGAGGACCTACTAAGCAGGAAACAATGACAAAATAATGACAAAACGAAATTAATCCAAGTCATGTTTGTAAGAAGAGACGGGGTTACACAACCTTAGAGAGCAGCAGTCAGCCAAAAAGAGCCTTCCGAAATAAACAGCAACTTCTCAAAAGAAGGCAGCAGACACATTCCTGTAGACGTGGAGCATTACGAGATATGTGCAAAGAATACTACTTATTTTTTCATATTAACTATCAGAGCTAATTGTCAGCAACAGCTCAGCTTAGCTAAAGGGATGTTTCAAGTCATATTTCAATCTGCTTTAAAGATTGTGCAGTGCTAGAAACTGGCATATAAACATTTAAGATGGTAAGTAAGCAGCTTTGAGGTTTGAATTTTCAATCGTTCAACTCTTGAGTCCTAACCCAAAAGAACTTTCACAGAGAACAGAGCATAACATCAGGGAACTAACGCCAAGGCTGGTTTTGATATACATAATACTACTTTATTCCATTGTTTCAACTTTCTTACAGGTTTAAAAAACGTACAGGGGTTCAGAACCACCTCAGCAGAACGAAGAATACATAATTAAGGGAGCTCTAGAGTCAAACCACAAGTGTGCAAGCGTGGTTAGCTTCCATTACAAAAAGTAATAGGCACGATCTTTACATATGCGTTTTGGTGAAAGAAGGAATAATAGTGCAGTGTTAAAAGGCACCAATAATCAATAATTGGGCCTTTTTAAAAAGCCAATAACCATCTAAGAAAATTACATTTGGTTCAAAATAATAATTTAAATATTTTATTGATTGGCATGCATCTGAACCCCTGGCAATTTATTACACAAATCTAATGTGCGCCCTTGCAACATAAAAAAGATTTCATCAGTGGACCTGAAAATCAGTTCAGTACAAAAGGAAATACTGAAGCTCTTTGCCTGTATTTAATACTAAACTGTCTTGTTCACCTCCTCCAAGAACACTTGTCTAACAAACAGCTATTCAACAACTGCACAGAAGTATTTCTCTTAAAGCAAGTGTAATTTTTTAATCCTGTAGCATTGACCTATTCCATGTGCTATGAAAACATTAGGCACAGACCACAATTTACGTTTTCTCTAAAAAAAAAATACAGTATGTGCAAGCTGGGTTCACACAACGGATTGACAGCTACAACAGTAAGCTATTTAGACTTCCCAAAGAAAAGGGTTAGTTAGTTTTAATTTTCTAAGCAGTGATGCACACTGCTGTGTGCAATTATCATATTTGCATTAGGATTATCTGTGTAGCCAATAAAGGAAAAGCTTTAGTACACCCTAAAGGACACTACATCAATACTGTGTGCTAATTTAACAGGATCAAGAGAATGAAAGATTGAAGAAGTCGTTGTACATGGGCAGCTGCAGTTACTCAGCCAGCCAGGAAGGGCTACTGCTTTCTGCAGGAAGAATGGTTTGCAACTCAGTTTACCTTGTAGGTGCCCTCAAACTAAACCGCTTGGACGTGATGGAATCTAGGGATGCACAATATGGGGAAAAAAAAGGGAAATGAGAGGGAGAGCTTCTGTGAAAGTTGTACCAAAATGTGCCATTCTATCCAAAAGCGTCATGCCCTGTGTAGGTTTTATGCATTGCGGATTGTTTGTACAACTGAAAATTGTACAAGACATGAGCAGAGATAGAGCTGATTATTAATCTGCAATATCTACTACAGTCCTCAGGTATATAATTTACGGATAGCCACTTACTGTGTTGTTGATTGTTTCGTCTTAAATATATTTAAATTCAGAAGGCTACAGTATATTCTGACACGAAGATAGTAAGACAACTTTCCTACATGTGGGAAAATATAAGGTAGTAACTAACTTATTTTATGAGGAACTTCCTCTGATGTGGTAGTTATTTCATGCCCTTTGGAAGATTTTTAGTTCTGACTTTCTTCATCGTCTCTGTCGAATTGCTCTCCTCACAGTTTCGCAAGAACTATATTCAAGTTCAGCGACCCCTCTTACAGCAGCCTTTTCCTTTTCCGCAATCCCTTTTAAACTCACTCTAACATCATAGCAAGCTAGATCAAGTAAACATTTCTCTTCTGGCAAGTTTCCAGATACAGCAAATACTAGCAAAACTCCACGTTTGATTACATGCGCCAGTTTTCTTTAAATGGAGCAGGAATTAGCCCGTTTTCTTGGTTTAGGGTCCCGTACATCCCTGTCTTTTAAACACATACAGGATGAACATATTGTCTCTGACAGTCTCCGCAGTCCCAGCCTGAAAACGCTGTTGGAGAGGCTATATATCACACAGTTGCAGAAACTATTGCTTATAGCAAGCCATGTCGTTAAGAAGGAAAGTGCTGGGTTTTCCAACACCCTAGAGCTCTCCAGCAGAAAGTATATGATATAGGGGAGCCACAGCATGTAGAACACACTGGTTATCCGAAACAAAACCATGGCATAGCGGCGATCAGGGCTGTGCCCAGTCTCCCCAGCAGCATCCACTTCGTGGCTAGGAAATCGAGCTCTCCGATCATTTATCTCTTTGGTGTGCTGCCGGCAAATTTTAAAGATGTGGAAATAGGTGAAACATATGACAAAGGCAGCGGGAGCGTATAGTAAGCACACGATAAAGCCAGTAAAATAGGCATTAGTTAGCCAGGAGGTAGCACACCATTCAAAAATATCTCCATGGTAACCAGGTTTTCCCCAACCAAAAAAGGAAGGCAAGAAGATCAGGCAAGAGTATATCCAGATCAAAATGATGCAGATTCTCAAGCGACAAGGTGTGACCAGTTGATTATAGGAGAGAGGCTTTGTGATAGCGAGATAGCGATCCACACTGATGCAAGCAAGACATGCCATAGATACGCTTTTCAGCACAGAGATGATATATCCAAAAACTTGACAAGTCAAGGACTCGTGGACACCTGTCGAGTAGTGGAGCAGTGACAAAGTAGGAACCAAGCAGCTAACTCCAACAAAAAGATCAGCATAGGCCATGGTCTGAATAAAATAGCTGGTGGTATAATGATGCAGAAGTGGAGCACAGTGAAAAACAAATATCACAGTTAAGTTACCCGCAATAATTAAGAATGTTAGCAAGACAATAACAACTGTCTCAAGGATACAGATGTCAACTGCATTGTAGTGACCAAATCCAAGAGGGCAGGAGAGATGCTCAGATATGTTCATAACACTACTGCTCATATTCAGAGTCCTCCATTCAATCCATCGGGACTGGTTCATGTTTTGTGATTAGGGAACACTGCAATCTGAGCCTTAGTGAGCAGATGACCTGCTTAAGAGCAGCTAAACTCTGCTTCAGCGTCTCACGATCTCTCTTTGTAGACACTGCCAGTGCTTACATTTGAGAGGATTACAGTCCCATAGCTGTTGATGCCTCCTCAGCATCAGTGCATCACCTCTGGCACACCTTAGCTTTAAGGAAAGAAAGAAAGAAACAAACAAACAAACAAAGAAAGAAAAGAAAAGGAAGGAGAAAAAAAAAAAAAAAAAAAAAAGCCAGAAAGAGAAAGGCCACCGATCAGCTCCTCCAGTGCTCTCGTCCAATCTTTAGCAAACACAAGGCACTTCAAAAACAAACAGGTACTGTGAAATACGGAAATAAAAACTGACAAAAAAAAGACACATTCATTTCCCAGGGAAGGAGTGGGGGAATCTTTGACTGCTTATTTTCCTGAGAAAGTCATTTACTTTGGAATATATTGGGGGTGAGGGGGAGGATGGGAAGGAGGAACCTCGGTACAGCTCAGGTTTCCTAGACCAGGAGTTACTGGAAATAATCTCTTTAATGTCTCAATTTAAATCACAGACTGACTGGAGAGTAAAGGAAAAAGTTCATCATCTAATGCTGTCTTTTCTGGCTCCATTCAGGAGATGGTACTCCGTCTGATCCATGCTATTCTTTGGAAAGGTAAGGAAAACATTTTTGTCAAGGTTAATTCCAATAGACTCACCACTGTTTGGGTATGAATAATGAATTTTATTTGGAGGGAGACGGGTGGGGGACAAGGCAGATTTGTCCTCTGACTCCCAAGAAAGAAAACATACATCTCACATACAATGAGGAAGATCGTGTCTATTCATTTAAAAATGAAACTGATTTCAGAATAGAATTTGGAGATTTATGTCAATATTCACAATTCCTTCAAACAGTTATAGTCCATTACAGTTATTAATGCCAGAAGCGTAATTCAAGGTCCCCACAGACAAAATAAATCCTCTTGAATTTAATATCAGCAATGGTTATTTAAAATAATCATCTTTGGAAACTCTGCCATATCTGCTACAGTGGATCAGTACCCTGGAGTTCATAGGTATATCCATGATATTGCTCACCTCTGTAGCAACACCTGAATCATTTCACAAACCCCCATACAACGAGAACAGAAACTTCCATCTGCATTCTGCTGTGAAGCTAATGAAATGCTGATTTGACTAGAAAAGCTGCCATTGTTTACTACTCCATTATTCTGTTACTCAGCTTCATCTTCTACATAGTTTTAGGGTTTCTATATTTATGAGATGATCAGTAAAATAAATAGTTGCTTTAAAAAAATGTTCTTCTAATTGCAGGACATTACCTTGTTCATTTTATTTGCAGTTATGGAGAAAGCAAACGATAAAAGAAAGCATCTTCTGTGTTCACTTTTAAGTAAATGCTTGATTAGTTCAGGAATCATTAGGCAGGTAATTAATTGTATACAATCTTGCTTTTTGAAAGGCCCCTAAAATGTTAAAACCATCTTTAATGCTAGAGTTCCTGAGACTAGAAGACAGGCAGTGAGAATTAATGAATCCACATAAAATGATCTCCAAGGTCATTCAGATATTATGCTGGCATTTGCTTTAAGTCTCTTTAAAAGTACCAGAATCTCTCCGATGTTTATGATGCTCCTTGCTGTGTCTTCAGGAGGAATTTCAGAGACTAGAAAAGAAAAATTCTCAATGCTGTTGCAGCAGTTTTTAGAGAAAACATTCTTTTTGGAGTTAATTTCCTGTCGTGCATCGCCACGCTGTACAAAGTCCTTCTGATTTTATAACATCCCCGAATATTTCCGGCTATTCATCCCCTTCGCCTATAAGCAACAGAGCACGTATAAAATTACTACTTTCTCTAATTCTTTGTTAAAGCAATATAGCAATCTCTCTCACCTACGCGCATCCTTATCGGCTGCTATGATGAACTGCTTGACAGGGGAGTCCTAGGGACTGTGGTGCGGCTGGAGCTTCTGTCGCTATTTCTCTCCTTCCCCCTTGAAATGATTGCTTGCACCTGAGTCCGCTCCTCCTCCTCCTCTTCTTCCTCCTCCTCCTCCCTCCCTCCTCCGCTCCCCCCCCCCCCCCCCCCCCAGCCGCCGCAGCCCAGCCGGCCGCTGGAAAGGTGACCGGCCCCCCCGCTGCGCGGCCGCGGAGCGAGGCGGAGCGCAGCGGGGAGCGGGCGCTCCCCCCGGCCAGGCCGGTAACGGGCGGCGGTGACCGGGGGGGGGGGGGGGGGCGGTTGCGCCCGGTTTCCGCACACCGCCGCGGAAACCCCGCGGAACGGCAAGGAATGAATTCAGCCGGGCCTGGAGTGCGCGGGGTATACACCCCCAAACCCCCCCACCTCGGGTCCACCCAGCTAATCGTCTCGAGCGAGGTAGAACGTGTAATTTTAGAAACCGCCATCATCGCCTCAGCTAAAAATGTTTAGTAAAAGTTATTCTCAGATTACTAATTTCACAGGCATCTTTTAGACGTCGTCTGCAAATGTTTAGCTCGGTAAAATATGTGCCATGGCTCAACACAAATTTTCTTGTCTTGCTCAAAAGACGAAATTACAGTCCCCTAAAAATTAATTCTTCTCCTACTTAAGGCAGATTTAGTTTAAAACTCATCTGCAACTGGTTTCGATACTGTACCAGCTTTTAATTGCTTCAACCGATTGCAAACGTCAGTTTAAATACAAATATTTGTGAGCAACACATTATTTTTCAAAGCACAGACTTTCTAACCCAATTAGCTGATCTCTCTATTCATGCAAATGGATGCTGCTATTCCCTGATTAAGGACTCAGAACTTTTGTTTACTTCATGCTCCCTAAAAATAAAGTCAGCGACAGAAATACAATCATCAAAGTTATCTAACATAGACACTCCATACGTCCTTAGACAGAGAGAAACAGCAAATTTAGATCCCAAAATACCAACCACAGAACCGTATTTTGGGCTATAGATCAACAAAAGACACGTGTCAAGAATGGCATTGGAGGCTTTAACTAAGTCATTAGAAACTACAGTGATTTAAATTCTTTTAGTTCCAAGGCAAACCACAGGCAAAATTTTAATAAGCTGCTCCTGGGTTAACATCTTGTATTTCGAGTATAGCCTGGAGGAAATATTCCAGGCTGAATGACAAGTCTGTGGAACTGTGAAGCAGCATAAAATGCAGCAGCGTGAGAGTGGTTTGCGATAACGGCGTGCGATAATTCCAAATTCTTCCATCGAAGGTTTTAAGACAAAATTAAAATCACTCCAATACCTCAGAACTCTACGTGGCTGTGACAACAGATTTAATGACTAAATTTAGTCCCCGAGTACAGCTTTAAGCCATAGCTATCCATACCACAGGCAGAACAATAGGAAGCAATTTTTATTCCTCCTCTTCCCACTCCTCCTGTGGGGGAGGAGGAGGAGGAGAACAAACAACGGTGTGCAGAGACATGGCAGCAACCAGGACCTCTCCCCTTCCTCCCTGGGCCAGTTCCTGGTGGGCACCGGAGAAACAAAGCGCCCAAACATCTTAAAATGGATGTTAGAAAGCCTCAAAGACACAAGGGCACGTTAGATAAGCAAAGGTAACGCCTAAAATTAAGCAGACCACAGAAACTATGTGCTGAGCCCATCCTGCTGGATACAGATCCGAGTACCGGTAACTACTGAGGCTTCCACCAAATGCTACGGCGACCACCGAGTCACCTTGCTCACAGGTCAGATCCAGCCGACGTGCAGAACCGCGGTGCCTCTTCCCGTGGGCTCCGAGTACCGAACTCTGATCGCAAGCACTCATGTCAGCCAAATGTTGCAGGTCTTGTACAAGAAATCCAGATACTGCTACGCAGGTAACAGAAAAATCAACGGCAGCCTCTGCTGGTTGGTTTTCCATGCAGGTAAAACACTTCCCTTTCATACGTTATAATTAAAGGGACAAACTGTTCCAAAAGTAAGGAAATTTGATTTCTTTCTTTGTGGAGATGTGAGCAGGCTTCCTTCACTACCACCAAAAGAAAAGTCATGCTGCAAGCTCCCAGTGGCTTTACCACCTCAGCTACTCCCAGGGCCCAACTCCCGGTGGCATTTTCTAAGAAGCAGCAATGCAAACTGCAACAGACTGACTGCACTAACGTGTACTGTATTTTACGTGTAATGGGGGGTGAGTGAAAATTAGAGCAGAAATCAGCTTGTCCTGATGAAACTATGCAGTCGCAGACAGCATTTTACAAGATGTGGCAGTACTGGAATGTTTTATCAGAGGCAGCACATTAAAAAGCTACGTGGGCAAAGTTTTCTATCTGTAGATTGAGACACGTTAGGGACTCTGTCACAGTTTTAAATGAAATGTGCTTCAGGATTTTCTTTTTATTTGCATGTAAATAAAAGAAAGAAAGAGAAAACAGTTATATTGGAAGAATTTAAGGGCTGTCACCAAGGCAGTATTTTACACGGTGCATAAATTCCATACTAGTTATGTCCAGTAGAAGGACTGAGCACCATTCTTAAAGCTGAATAGAAGGAGCAACTCCACACCTTCTTTATAAATTACATCAGCTAGGAACAACAGAAGTTACCATCCAAAACAGAAGACTCATACCACCTTATCCTACTGAAAACAGAGGTGTGGTAGGAGCTCGAGCTTTGTGCATGAAAAGAAGGCATGAGAAAGCAGTGGGGATGTGTGTGACCCTGTAAGGAAATGAGATAAACCTTCTCAGACAGACAAAGCCCATACAGAGGTAGATCTAGAAGCTCCAAGCAAGGAAACAATCTATTACTCATTTCTTCTATTCCGAAAGGAATATTTGTTTCCTAAATCTTTTTTTTTCGTAAGGCAACAGGACTGATAGAAGCAATTACTGCAATGCACAAAGCAGCATCTCGGTTGCACCACTCATACCTAGTTTGAAGGCTTTCAGGACTCTCTTTGTTAAAATATTGGATGGTCAGCTGGATTAAATGGACAACAACAATTTCCGTAGAACCTTTTAAAAAAGCATTGATTAGAGCAGGGAGATGCAGCTGAGAATGTGGGATGAGGAACATAATAGTTATTTACTTAGATGTAGACCTGAATGACAATGTTGATATACATACCAGCTCCTTATCTTCTTTTCATCTGCCCAACTCCTTTTTTCTTTTTTTTTTTTTTTTAAAGTATTATTTTCCTTTATCCAATTTCTCCTTAGCCTATAGAACAAAGGTGCTTCTTCAGTTTGTTTTATTTTTATCTGAACTACCTCTGGCCTTTACTTGTCCACCAAATCATATGGACACTTTGGTTTTGTTTTTAATGCCTCCAGAAAAATTCTGTTCTTTAAAGCTTGCAGCTTGTAGCACAGCTTAAAGAGGGAGAGGAGGAAGAAAAAAATCAGTAGTTGCCTTAAAAATTATGTGTGTGTGTACGTGGTTGTTTTTTTTACATCAGACTAGTGCTTGAAGTTGCTCTCTAAAGTCCTACTGGTGCTATATTTAAGGCAGAAATCCATTTTATTTGTTATTTGGAATATAAAGCGTCTTCCCAAAATCCACCCACTGCAGCTGTCTATTTAAAACACTACCATGAAGAACTCTAGCTTACACAGAACACACAGGGATTTTCACCTGAGTACAGGCACATAATATGAGATAAAAAAGGTATCCATATATATGTATGTATAAAAGCATTATTTTTTTCTCAGAATAATCTTAAACTTCTTAAACACTTTATGTTTGAGGGTGCCTCTGGATATCAACACCGTGCTAAAAAGCAAGGACAACTCCAAGATGGAGTTTTCACAGCTTGCATGGGCTCCTGTTCCGACACCTGACCCCTCTCACTGTGACTCCCATTATCAGCTCAGATTTTTTCTTGCTGCTGTTTGTCTTCATCATCACCAAGACTCAACACATTTGGGCCAGTGATAAAAATCATAAAGGACTTCCTTAAGGAAACTACAGTACCTTGTAGAAAGTTTAAACCCATGAAATATTTCTCCACCTTCTCATTTAGCAGTTTTGCTATCACGTATCAGTTCCCTTCTCCCTCCAACCCCACAATCATAAAGAAGGCCATAAATCATTCTCCGATGCTATGGCCCACATACCCCTGTGACTGCAAAAAAGATCAAGTGATACAAGTTACGCAGCTGCATTTTTGAAATGCAGATGCTCTTGTGGAGCACTTACCTCACTGTTACAGAGAAAAATTACCTCCCTAAAGCCTGCATAAGCCTTTTCAGCGTGAAACTGAGTTCGATGGCAGCAATTGAGTAAGTTCTATACAGTGGGGAAAAAAGCAAAGGGCCTGTATAATTTGGAGTGGAGGGTGGGGGGAGTTCAGGTAAGAGCTTGGAAGGAGACAGCAGCTTCCAAAAGGTCAAGGTATGTGAGGGATGTGCAAGGGAACTAACGCTCCCTTTGCCTTCTACTACTGCTCCAAGCAGGCTGTTTCAGCCTGCTCTTCTGCTGGAGTCGCAGCCCCAGTCTTTTTCCAATACTGTTTCTAATGAGACAAATATTAGCCAGTATCATACAAATGTTAGGTAATTAGGATGCTGTGATGCAGAACAAGAATTTTTTTTTTTTTCATGTGTTGTGGTGGGTCAGTAGAGAAAGATGGGCATTTACAGTTGCAAGTTTATTTGCAGTCTTAGTCTTTTCATGCTGTTATTTAACAATTACATCAAAGACTTCCAAGTCTGAAACTTTTAAATTAGCTACCAAAATTATTCATGTATTTAATAAATATTAGGCAAGTTCTCAGAGTTAATTTCCACAGTCTCCCTTTAAACATTACTACCTGTGATCTCATGGATTAGATGGTTACTTTTCTGAATTTTACATAAAGGAACATTTTTCTGCAGGAGGAGCTTCCCCCTCAAGATTATATTGATGATCCTATGACAAATGGAATTCACTTTACAAGCTCAATTTGGAGCGACAAATACCACCAAACTTCTGTGACTCAAATCAATAGAAATAAACCACCATGCAATAACCTATCTATCAAGAAGTGAATTTACTACAGGGAAATGCTCTGAA